TGACTCATTTAACTTTCTTACAACTTACCTATAGCCTTGAAATCTTTCAAAATTAAAGAAATTTTTAAAAATTTTTTGAAACTTGGATTTATGTATTTTGGAAAGAGGCTTCACGGCTGTACTTTTATTTTATTTTATTTTATTTTTTAAAGATTTTATTTATTTATTTGACAGAGAGATCACAAGCAGGCAGAGAGGCAGGCAGAGAGAGAGGAGGAAGCAGGCTCTCTGCCGAGCAGAGAGCCCGATGCGGGGCCTGATCCCAGGACTCCGAGATCATGACCTGAGCCAAAGGCAGCGGCTCAACCCACTGAGCCACCCAGGCGCCCCACGTCTGTACTTTTAAATTCTCCCCAGGAAAACTGAATCTGTAGATGGAACTAAAAAGTCGCTAATCTAAATTAATTCAAGAAATGCATATATAAATAAAACTTTATTATTCTGTTTATAAATCAGAAATTCTTTGAAGGCAGATAATCAAATATCTCATTCATATCTAAGTGTATAAGTATGTATATACTGTATGTACAAGTATGTGTATAAGTGAAGTGTATATTTAAGTGTATATGTATAAAGTGTATAAAGTGTATAAAGTGTGAGTGTATATGTATAAGTAAATGTATAAGTATGGGGCAGTTTTATTGTTTATTTTTTTTAAATCTTAATTTTATTTTTTAAAATTTTATTTATTTATTGGGGCACCTGGGTGGCTCAGTGGGTTAAAGCCTCTGCCTTCGGCTCAGGTCATGATCCCGGGGTTCTGGGATCGAGCCCCGCATCGGGCTCTCTGCTCAGCGGGGAGCCTGCTTCCTCCTCTCTCTCTGCCTGCCTCTCTGCCTACTTGTGATCTGTCGGTCAAACAAATAAATAAATAAATAAATCTTTAAAATTTTATTTATTTATTTGTTTGTTTGTTTGTTTGTTTGAGAGAGAGAGCCAGAGAAGAGAGAGAAGCAGACTCCCACTGAGCAAGAAACCCAATGTGGGACTTGATCCCAGGACTCCAGGATCATGATCTGAGCCGAAGGCAGACACTTAACTGACTGAGCCACACAGGTGCCCCTAGGGGCTTTTATATACTGATTTTTCTTGAAAAGAATCTTGTCTGTATTTAACCCACTAAAATGCAAATGGCACATAATTCATCCAAAACATGAGGGCATCTTCTTTTTTTTTATTTTAGAAAGACAAAGTGTGAGGGGTTGGGGGGGCCCTCAGAGGGAGAGAGAGACTCTCAAGCAGGCTCCATGCCCTGCCCCCACCGCACCCCTTCCCCGGGGGCCCGCCATATCAATTGTGCCCTTTCATGGTGGGAAAAGAAAAAAAGAAATGAAAAGAACCATTTTCATTTATATTTACACCTTGCTTCATCCTTTGCAAGATGTCTTCCCATCTGCTGTCCCCACTGTCCTCTTCACAGCAGCCCCAGGAGGGAGACAGAGTCAGAACTGCCATCTCCACGTGGTGCATGTGGGTAAACAGGCCTCAGGAAGGAAAGTGTCTTTTCTGCCACTGCATAGGTGCTTGGTGCAGACCCCAGCAAAGGCACCCATGGCTCCAACCTCTCTTCTCTGCCTCCTGCCCCCTTTCAGTGACTGCTTTTTTTTTTTCCTCCTTTCTGATCCGTCTCTCCTCTTTCAATCTCTCTGACTTGGTGTCTCTGTTTTTCTAGTTCCATTTTCCTCCCTCACATGCTCCAGCCCTCAGATTGGTGGCCACTTTGGAGGTTGTCCAAACTTCACCTCATTCTGGAAATCTGCCAGCTCTGCAGGCACAGCCCCAGGCTGCCCCGGGTTGGGCATCTCTGGTGCTGTGGTGCAGGTACCTAACTGTGGATGCCGCTCCCAGTCTCTCCATCTGGCCCTAGATAAGATAAGGGTGGGGATCAGCCCTATAAACAGGCCCCAGTCATTCCCCTGGCCCAGGACCCCAGCTAGCTCGGACGCATCAGCCCCGGATCAGCATGGCCGTCCGCCTGTGGATGGTTGCCCTGGCTGTGGCTGCCCTCCTCATTGTGGACAGGGGTGAGTGGACAGAGCCTGGACTCTCTGTGACTTGGTGATGGTAGATGAGCTTGTGGTGGGGGCAGAGACAGGCCCTGAAGCATCCTGTGAGGCCTTGGTTTTCTGCATATACCTTCTTTCTGTACCTCTCCACTGTGGTTGGGAAAAGCTCTGGGTTAGGAGAAAAGAAACCTGGGTTCAAATCCTGGCTGTGGCCCAGAACTGCAAAAACCCCTCCTCTCTTGGGGTCTCTGTTTCTCCAGCTGTAGCATAGGATGTCTTTCTGGTTCAAAGCTGCTCTAAGCAACTCCTCGGCAAGAGATGTGGGAAGCAGCAGGGAGCAGGCCTACCTCGGGAAAGACAGGTAAATCTGCTGGCTGCAAGGTAGCAGGTGCTGAAGGAAGCCTGGCTCAGGTCCTCTGAGCTCCTGTTTGCTGTAACAGGTGATGCCTGTGGGACGGATGGCAGCTGTGTGAGCCAAGGGTAGCCCCTTTCCCTGGGCTAGACACATGCTGGAATGGAGCCTTCTCAGGGCCTGGAGCACATCTGTGGTCTCATACCGACCATGTGTCAGGCATATTCTGGGCCTGATAAGACATATCAGTGAGCAAACAGAAAGAGAACTACCCCAATGATGCTTAAATCCAATGGGGTAGGATGGAAGGGAATAGACAACAAGATAGATGCAGTGTTAGAAGGTGATAAAGGCTAAAGAAAAAATATTGGCTAGGGTTAAGAGGGGGCTGCCATGTTAAATCAGGGGGTTCTCTCCTACAGCAAGGCTTCAAGGGGGCAAGGGAGTAAGCCATGTGGGTATTTGGGAGAAGTTTTCAGACAGAGCTGACAGGCAGTGCAAAGGCCCTGAGATAGGAGCAGCATAGCTGGAGTGTTGGAGGTATGGCAAGGAGGCCACCAGTGTGGCAGGAGGGGAATGAGAGGCAGGGTGCAGAGCAATGGGAAAGGAGATGATAGAGGCAACTGGGAACTATACTGGGTAAGGCTTTAAAGGCCAGTGTGAGAATCTGGCTTTCCCTCTGGGTGAAATGGGAGATACTAAAGAATTTTGAGCAGGGTTTTTTTTGTTTTTGTTTTTTTAAGATTTTATTTATTTATTTGACAGAAAGAGAGAGATCACAAGTAGGTAGAGAGGCAGGCAGAGAGAGGGGGGAAGCAGGCTCTCCGCTGAGCAGAGAGCCTGATGCGGGGCTCCATCCCAGGACCCCGGGATCATGACCCGAGCCAAAGGCAGAGGCTTTAACCACTGAGCCACCCAGGTGCCCCAAGCAGAACTGTGTGTTAAAAGGATCACTCTAGTTGCTGTGTTGAGAACAGACTAAAGGGGGAAGCAGGAAGACTACTTAGGACACTTCTGGAAGACCACTGACCTCATGGCCAGTCCCACTCCCACTCCCCTAGCTGAGAACACAGTCCTAGGTGCTGGGACAACAGAGCATGGGTTTGGGGGCTCTGCTTACTCCCAGCATGGCATCCGTTCCCTGAGCAGTTCTCCCATTGGGAACACTGAGGAGGCCTGTCCGGAAAAGAGTCCTTGTGCCCCTTTCAGATTCCTGCCTAGGCCAGGTGAGGAAGGGGTTCAAAAGCACCCTGAAAGTAAATTCAACCTCTTCCCACACCCTCCAGGAAGAAGCTCTATACAGAGTTCTGCACTCCACCCCCCTACGATGCATTTTAGTTGTGGGGCACATTGCCACATGAGGGCAGAAGCAGAGGAGCCCCAAGGAACTCAGGTCCGTGGGAGGCAAGTGACTCACTGAGTGGGACAGCCTGTGGTATGAAAGTGGCCTGAATGTCTGTGGCCCCAAAATTCATACGCTGAAATTCTAATTCCCAAAGTGTTGGTATTGGGAGGTGGGAGTTTTAGGAGGCAACTAGGTCATGAGGGTACAGCCCTCATGAACGCGATTAATGCCCTTACAAAAGAGACCCCGCAAAGCTCTCTTGCCCCTTCTACCACATGAGGACACAGTAAGCAGGCACCAGCTCTGAAGCAGGAAGAGGGCCCTCACCAGACACCAAATCTGCCGGGGCCATGACCTTATGACTTTCCAGCCTCCAGCATTGTGAGAAACAAACGTTTCTTGTTTTTAAGACACCCAGTTTATGGTATTTTGTTCTAGCAGCTAAATGGACAATAGACAAAAACTGGAGGCTAAATCCAGGTCTCCTCAGGAAACCCTGGGGGACATCAGGGAAGGATTCCCTGGGAAGTAGCATCTGAGCCTTACAATGAAGACAAAATCAGTAAAAGGGGGATAAAGACATTTCACCTAGACAGAAACAGTATAAGCTAAAGCAGAGCCTGTCCTGGAAAAATGAGCAGACAGGAATAGCTGAGGCATAGAAACATGGGGAGGTGTCCTAGGAAGTGAGTCTAGAAGGAAGTTTTCGATCAGCTCACATAGGGCCCTAAAAGATGAAGGAGCTCTGAGATCACAGGAGCCATGGAAGGCCTTTATATTTTTTTAATGCTTTTTTTGTACAACAGTTCTGTGCCATGAAATAAATCTTATCACTCAGTGAATCTTATTCAATGAATTTTGACAATGCACATACATGTGTAACCCAAATCTCTATCAAGATACAAAACATTAGGGGTGCCTGGGTGGCTCAGTCATTAAACGTCTGCCTTCAGCTCAAGTCATGATCCCGGGGTCCTGGGATCGAGCCCCGCATCTGGGATCTGAGACTGAGTCCCACATAGGGATCCCTGCTCAGTGGGAGGCCTGCTTCTCCCTCCCCCTGCTCTTCCCTCTCCCTCTGCCCCTCTTTGTGCTCTCTCTCTGACAAATAAATAGAATCTTAAAGATACAAAACATTTCTGGAGCACCTGGCTGCGTCAGTCAGTAGAACATGAGACTCTTGATCTCAGAATTATGAGTTGGAGCCGCATGTTGGGTGTGGAGCCTACTTAAAATAAAAATTAAAAAAAAAAATTCCAACACCCCAGAAACTTCCCTCATCCTAGTCAGTCCTCTCCCTTATCCAACCCTTGAGTCAACCACTGCTTTTTTTCCCCCCACCATAAATTAGTTTGGCCTGTTCTAGAATGTCACATAGTAAGCTGTATTTATCCCGAGGCTGCCCTTGACCTTGGCCTAAGGTGCCCCTTCCATGTAGTATGTAGCCTTGTGTCTGGCTTTTTCTGCTCAATGTTTTGAGATTCAGCCATGTTGTTGCATATAACCATTGTTTGCTCATTTTATTTCTGAGTTGTATCCCAGTGTATGTATGTATCATAGTTTACCCATTCTGTTGAAGGACACTTGGGTAATTTCTCATTTCTAGTTTCACAATCACAGGAGAGTTTTGAGCAGTGTGGTGCTGGGTCTGCATCTTAATGTGCCATGCTTAAACAGCATTTCAGGGGTCACTTCACCTCAATTCCCTTCTCCCTATCTACCTTGGAAATCTCTTTTAATAGCAACCCCAAGAAAAGCTAAAACCACAGTGGTGGGCACACCTCCAGTGATGGGAGAACTCTCTGCTTCTGGAGACAGCCTCCTTCACTGTGGCAGAGTTTCCACTGAGAGAAAATTCTGGAACTCAAACCTGCCTCCCTACAGCTTCCTCGCATGAATGGGCTCTGCCCTGTAAGGTTGAGAAGAGATCCTCTCTCCTTTGGCCCTGGGATAGCCCTTTAGAGACTTCAGGAAGCAGCCTGCCCTTCTCCAATTTACATAGACACCCTTCCTTCCACCTGTGGCATTAGATGTGGCTCCGTTCCCTCATCTGCCTGTCACGTTCTCCACTCACATCAGCTTGTTCATGTCCTGCAAGCAGGGCATCGAGACCTTTAAGAGCCAAGAGGCACAACTGTGTGTATGAAAAGAACCAGGCTGGGGAGTGGCAGACCTGTGTGCGGTCCCAGCTCTGCCCAACGATCCCACAGGGAGCTTTGGAGCTGGGGTGGCCCTTCCGCATTATTCAGTAGAAATGAGGGGTTCTGGCCATTGTACCAACATCGACGTGTCATTGGATATGGCCTGTTCTTGGGTAGGGGATGCGACCATGGGTGAGGTACTCTTTTTTCTGAGAGTCATTTCTAGGAAGGGATTTGCTGTGAGTGGCCAATACTCACAGCAGCTGAGGAAATGAGCACCTCAGTCTGGCCTGCGAGTGGGATGTGGGTAGCGGACCGCAGCATCCTTCCCTCCCTGTTACACGATGGTGATAGAGATGTTAAGAGGAGTTAAGATCATGTGTTCTCCATGCTTGATTCATGCTAATTCAATTACTTTCATTATTATATGGGATATAACAATCCCAGTGGGATCTGACTAATAAGATAAGGCTGGACTGCCACCTCCCTAACCCTAGATTTTCTGTCTCTGCTCTAGCAACCCAAGGTTATAGCAGCTTTCTGAGATTCCCCCACGGTCTGGTGACTCAATACCCCTCCTTGAGGAATTCCAGACTAGACAGTAGCTGGAACAGGTCTCCCAAAACAGTCCTCAGATGCCAGACCTGCACCTAAGTCACTATCACCTAACTCGTGTTTTTGCCTTTCAGAGACGCCCGTGTCAGCGACAAGCCTGATTTCCCCAAGAATGGTAAGGCAGCCCCTTCCAGGTTGGGCTCCAGGGCTGCTGTCCTGGTATCTCCTGGTCTTCCTTCTGCATCCATGCTAAGAAACCAGCATTTTTCTTCTTTATACTCCTGCTCAAGTAACTGATGGCTCCGAGGTGGCTAGGGTAGCTTCCTGAGCCTGCAGGCTCCCCTGGCTGCCCTTCCAGGCTGAGTTGGCCCAGCCCCTTTGCCAAGGTCTCAAACCTGGCTTCCAGGACCTCAAGAGATCTCCCCAACCTGGTCTCCAGCGAAATCCCCTGCCCGGGCTCAGCAGGACTGAGCGTGCACTCTGTTTTGTGTAGTGAAGATGGACAGGCTATGGGGTTCAGGCCAGAGATACTCTGGTGCCCACAGTCTGTGCCAGCCTCCCCCAACCACACCCCATCGTTCATCCATCCCTTCACTCTGGAGGACAGACACCAAGTTGTCCCTGAATCCTGGTTCCACCTTGGCCCTGGGCCTGATGTCCGCAGGGATCCTAAGGCAGTGGTGCTGGCGTCCCTGAGACCCTCAACCCAGCCTTCACCAAGGGGGCTCAAAGTTGCCTTCCCATCCAGCAGCCTCGGCATCTCCACTGTCAGCCTATCAGACCCAGGCCTATTATTGGGCCAAAGAAATCAAGTACTTCTACATACATGATTTCAATTAATCCTGCATGAGAAGAATACTATTATTCATTTACAGTGTGTGCAGAGGAGGAAGCTGAGGATCCAAGAGTGGAGATGGCTCTCACAACTTCACACAACTCATAAGCGTGGAAGTCAGACTCTCTCTCAGTCTTATGACCACCACCACCAGACTGCCTCTTTCACCCCATCCTGTCCCACACTCCGATCCCAGTCCTGACCCAGCTTCCACCCTGACCTCGGGCCTGCCCTGAAACTCTTTCAGACTAGCCTCATTTAAGACCCAAGCCTTGTCCCATTTCTTCAGCCTTCCAGCACCAGGGGCCTGATGGCTCATGTCAGCCAGGGTGAGTGGAGAAGCCCTCAGTGAGGAGAGGCCCCTTGGGAGTGCTGGTGGTTCTGTCTCCTGGGTTCCTCACCGGGACCTGCAGCAGAGGTTCTAGTTAGACCCTCTGAAAAGTGCATGAACCCATCCCGAGGAGCTTGAGGCCATAAACTCACCTGACACACAGACACACAGACACACACTTGAATGCCCACAGACTTGGGTTCAGCAGACACAGGTACACACTTGTGTACACAGGCACAGCCCTACACCTAGTCATGCATGCACATCTAAGCAAACATGCCAAGGGGCCCTGAGTGGTTAGTTTCATATCCACTGGACCAACACTGGGCCTTCTAGAATCTGGCTCTTCCCTGGTGCCCCTGACTCCAAGCAAAGTCCCTTGGTCCCTATTAACTGCCCCTGAAGTGCTGAGTGCCCTCCCTCCCTTCCTCTCTTTCACAGCCCATCTGTGAGCACATGGAGGAGTTTCCTGTCTGTTCCCAGACATCCAACCTGGTCTGTGGCACTGATGGTGTCACGTATGACAATGAATGTCAGATCTGCTTGACCCGGCTGTAAGTCCACCCCATACCTTCCCCTCAGCTTGCTTGGGTGGGCCCCAACTCTGGTGCATTCAAGTGTGAAAGGAACAAGACTTGACCTGCCTCTTCCTTCACACACCTTGGCTTGAGAAGAGTCCTCCAAAATTGCCCCTAACAGAATGAGCACAAGTATATTTCAAAGAAGGCACGTGGTTCCAAGTACAAAGCCTCAGCTGGTAGGAGGTTGGGGAGGGGGCAGAAACCCTGGGTTCTTTCCCTCATTCTGCCCCTGACCAACTAGTTGACTTCATTTGTTCATTTATTCCTCTAACCAATAATTATTGATTGAGTGTCTACTATGTTAGGCACTGGGGATACAATAGGATATAAGCTAGACAGCATCCCTGGCCTTCTGGAGCATGTAGTAGTTTAAGGAGGAAGTCAAACTAATGGTCAGCCAACTGTAGCATAGAATGCTCAAGGCTCAGATTGGGGCACTCAGGGTTCTGTGAGTGCAGGGCAAGGACAAGGGCAGGGAAGACTTTCCAGCTCGGCTCTGAAAGATAAGCTGATATTGGCTTGGAAAGAGAAGGAACAAGGAAAGGTAATTCCAAGTAGTGAAATTAGATTGGAAAATGTCTAGAAAGAAAGAAAGAAAAAGTTTGTATTTGAGAAAATGTAAGAAATTGGATACAGTGGAGTATGAAATTTAAAGACAAGTGGGGAGAGGCAAGAAATGAGTTGAGAGGTGAGAAGGGCTAGAACATGACCTTGGTATGTCTGATCACCTATTTGATCCCCTTTCTTCATTAATAAAACCCTTGAGCTGGGCCAGAGCTAATCAGGATCATGGAAGACAGTCTTCAGAAGCTACAGCATTCTGGGGAGCCTCGGTGGCTCAGTGGGTTAAGCTTCTGCCTTCAGCTCAGGTCATGGTCTCAGGGTCCTGGGATCAAGCCCTACATTGGGCTCTCTGCTTGGCGGGGAGCCTGCTTCCCTCTCTCTCTCTCTGCCTACTTGTGATCTCTCTCTCTTTGTCAAATAAATAAAATCTTAAAAAAAAAAAAAAAAAGAAGAAGAAGAAGAAGAAGAAGAAGAAGAAGAAGCTATAGCATTCTGGCCAGAGAGGCAGGGTAGAGTCCCTGAAGGGTTTGTCCTAGTCCCTGATGAGATGGGACTCATCTTTGTCTCCTGTGATCCTAGGAAAACCAAACAGGACATCCAGATCATGAAGGATGGCAAATGCTGATCCCCATAGCAGCCTCTTAAGCCACGAAGTTTCGGGCTAGACCACAGTGCTGGGAGTGAAGGATGTGACATGAATAAAAGTTCCAGTCCAACTCAGCCAAGTGAGCCAGTATCTTTGGGGACTCTGATGAGGTGGTTGTTGGTGGTAGGTGGGTGTGGTAAGGATTCTGCCCTGACCTCTCTACTTTGAACATGATGTCTTCTCCATTCCTCCAGCACTCCTCAACACTGTCACATGCTCCCCTAGAGGTCGCAGGTCTCTTCTGCTTCTTGAAGAAGTCAGTCCCTGTCCCCTGCATGCTTGTCTGCCCCAGCCTGCTTGTCAAGAACCCTAGGTGACCTCTGTACCCTCTCCCATTGTCAGAGAGCAGGACCCAGCCTTTGGGAGAGTCCTACACCCCTCATGGCCTTCTCCCTGGGTTGTGCCAGCACCCCAAGTCTTAAGTCTTACACACACACACACACACACACACACACACACACACTCTGATACTAATACTTAGATAGTGTACACAATATATCTAAACTACTTGTTAAATTACTGACCTAGGTCTATAACAGTTAAAAATAGCTGCCCCAGGCCTTTGAGTGTCTCCCTGCACCTTGGCCACCCACAGCAGGACGACATCCAGACCCTGCTCTGTTCTTTTGGTCACTATCCATTCTGACTGTTAATGTTGGCATTGGACACAAGTCCAGGCATACACACCACATGTGTACCTATACAATGGCTCACAAAAACACAGAGTATCCAGAAATCCCACCACAGAGGCCCTAGCCTGTGGTCCATGTCAAATAACCCTCTTTTGGCCAAAGTGAATAAAAGGAGCCACTTGATAATGGTGGCAGAGTAAAAGAGTGTGGAGACAAGTCCTGGCCAATAGAAGCAGGGTCACTTGGACTCAGATTCCTGCTTTAGCGGGGCCCGAATGAGCAGGAAACGTGCTGTGGGAAAACACATTGGGAAGAAAGCCAGGGCAGGAAAGGCAGGAACCAGCATTCCCCAGACAACTGAAATGGGGGCATAGACAGGAACTGTTGCTGATAGACCTGCAGGTAGAGGTCATCTACAGGCCCTACTACTTACTGCCACTGGTAACAGAAAATTTTGCTCCTCTCCTGCATAGGAATGATGGCAGTATTGAGTTTGGCTGTGAGAAACCCAAATGCCAAAATAACAGTGGCTTCAACAGTTCATTTTCCTCACACATGGACCTCTGCAGTGTGCTAACTTCATGCTCCTTATATAGTTACTCTGCTATCCTCATCAGTTTCCCCTTCAGTGTACATGACAGCTGCTCTAAGAAGGGCACTCTACTGCCTCTGAAGATGATGCCCCATAAGACAAACACACTGTGTGTACAGCCCATTGCCTAAAATGGAGTCTCTTGGCCATGCTAGCACAAGAAGACTGGGAAAAACCATTATCTGGTGAGCCATGTGCTAAGGTGGAAATTAGTTCACTTATAGGAGAGTGACTGTTGGTGATCTCTAAGCCTCTGCCCTAAGTGGGAAGCCCCTCTTACACTCAGGGGGCACAGCTTCTCAGCCAAGCTTCCTGTCAGTGACCCTCCCCTCCCAGGCTTCCACAGCCATGCTGAGGGATCCCAAAGATCACACCAGAACAATGTGCCCAGGTGCCAAGCACAACACTGGAAGAAATACCTAATTCCCCATGTTACAGATGTGGAAACTTGGCCCTGTCTCTGGAAACATAACTGGGTCCCCAAAGGCCCTATCTGTGGCACATGACCCTGCTGCCCTGGCTATTACCAATCAGCCAAAAAATTCTCCGCCAGATTTTCTGAATCGCAAATAAGGAAACAGGCAGTTCCTCTCTCATAGTGAAGCTGAAAGATGTGTGATGTGGGGGCTGCTGACAGCCACGTTTCCTACTTTGTGGAAGAAGCAGGATTGAGAGAATGATGCCGGCATGCAAAGAAGGAGATGCAGAGACTGATTCCAGGCTGTGTTTGAATCCCTGAAGCCCAACTGCCCTCGAACACCCCAAAGCTATGTGGGATCACTTGACATCCTGCCAATAAATTTTCTTTCCTTTTTTAAAGGAAAGATTGATTTATTTTAGAGAGAGTGAGTTTAAGCAGGGGGAGGAGCAGAGGAAGAGAGAATCTCACGCAGACTCCCTGCTGAGCACAGAGCCCCAGGTGGGGCTCGATCTCATGACCCTGAGATCTTGACCTGGGCTAAAACCAAAGTCAGATGTTAACCGACTGAGCCACCCAGGTGCCCCAGTACATTTTCTCTTTCAACATTCTCTTCGGAATTTGGTTTCTGGTGCTTTCAGTTAAAAGAATCCTGACTACCAAAGCAGGAATGGTGTCTCAGAGAAGGTAACCTTAATGCTGAGTCTTAAAGCAAGTAGAAATTGTTTTTTGTTTGTTTGTTTGTTTTAAGATTTTATTTATTTATTTATTTGACAGACAGAGATCACAAGTAGCAGAGAGGCAGGCAGAGAGAGAGGAGGAAGCAGGCTCCCCGCCAAGCAGAGAGCCCGATATAGGGCTCGATCCCAGGGCCCTGGGATCATGACCTGAGCTGAAAGCAGAGGCTTTAATCCACTGAGCCACCGCAAGTAGAAATTGTTGATTAAAACTACGTGTGGGAGAATTCTTCCAGCTCTGTTTGGCTGAGGATGTTTATGGGATCACAGAACCCCATTGGTTCCCCTTATAGTAAGACTGGCTATGTGCCAGGAAAAGTGGGCAGCCGGGGAGTGTTCTTTCCCTGTTCACTGGCAAACACACCCTGAGGATGTGCAGATCTGAGGGGAGGGGAGTGGGGGGGCTTGTGCACAGGCCCCAGTCACCACCCTGCACACGTGCCCAGTCCCCAGTGGCGCAGGGCCTCTCTTCTCCACCCTTTAATCAAACAATGGCTGTTGATGCAGTAAATTCCAGCGCTGACGGAGTGCAGCTGTGGGAATATCATTGTAGATGTGTGCGTGTGACATTCATTCATTCTCCAAATATTTATTGAGCACCTATTATAAATAGACAATGTGCTTGAAATATGCTGTTAACAAGACAAAGAAGCCCCTTAACCCAAGAAACTTAGAGTCTAGGGTTAGAGGTAAATATTAATCAAATAATTCCACAAATAAATGATGGTTTATCATGCTACTTATCATAAAGAAAAGTTACAGCAAATTGTGAAAGGATATCACCTGGGGGTTTAAGATGTTCCCTGACAATAGATGAGGCTTCTCCATGGAAGAGACATTTGAGTTAAGTTCAAGGGATGAACAGGAGTTACTTAGGAAAAAGGTCAGGGAGGTGGGGGCGGAGAGAGATGGTGAGGAGCTGTCCAAACAGAGGAACAGCATATGCAGAGACCCCAAGGCAGGAGAAGGCACACAGCATCTGGAAGACCAGCGTGCCTACCAGCAGAGAGCAAACAGGCCAGTGGCCGGGGATAAAAGGGAGAGCACATAGGGTAAGGACTTTGGCCTTTATCCTCAGGGGCCTGACATGCTAAGATTGGTACTTTATGGCCACTCTGGCTGCTCTGTAGGGAAGCTGCTCTTTGGAAGGCCAGACGGGAAGTGGAGACCAACAAGGGAGAGGGAGGAAGAGGGAGAGAAGAGCCAGCAGGCCCAGGCTGTGGGGAGGAAGTAGAGTGAAGAGTTAAACTACCAGCTTTATATCCTGGCTTTGCCACTTACAACCTTGAGAAATTACCTAAGCTCTCTGCTTCCTCACCTCTAACATGGGGACAGTATCTGTCTGCCTCCTAGAATGTATGAGCATTAAATGACTAATAGACCTGAAGAACTCAGAACAGTACCTCGCACACAGGGACCTCTCATTACATGCTTTGGTCCAGCACCACAAGCTAGCCTATAAAAACTATCAGATAAATACTGAATTGCTGATTAAAGTGGGGAGTGGGCTAGGCTGAGCTGAACCTCATCCACTTATCCACCCCTGTCCTAGGTCCCACCTGCACAGGCCTAAATTCCTGGGGCTTCAGTCACTCCTCTCTGCCAAATAAGGTTGGCCTCAGAGTGGCCTATTGGAAGCCTGTCTCCCGGGCACTGTGTGGAAAAAATGGGGTGACAGCAGCTGACTCGGTTAAGAGTTGTAGCCTACAGGGCCACTCTTGACTTATTCAACACAAATTACAGCTAGAACCACAGAAGGCTTTTGCTTCTCCTATTTAATCAAAAAAGGTTTAAACATTCTTTTGTTTGCGGATGATACATAAACTGCTTTTTAAAAAAAAAAAATGTTGTAACAGTGGAGGGGGCCACAAAACAAACAGGAACAGCCTTGAAGGAAACACTGACCTCAGAAGGGTACAGTGAACAGAAATACCTTTGAGGAACGCCTTAGAAATTTATGGTTGCCTTCACCACCTGCATCACTGTGGTTCCTTTCTCTGTCCCCCTGTCCCCCCACTCTGTATTTGTGACCGGGTTTCAAGCAGAGCTTTGGTCATTATTAGGTTCTAACCTTCTAAAGATTTACTTAAGCACAAGTCCACACATCAATACAAGCCCAACCCCAGGAATGGGCCTGAGGTCTCGTGGCCTGTGGCTGGGCAGGGTCACTGGGAAGTGAGGTCAAGGTCTATGAACCAACAACCTAGCCACCTGTTCTAGAATTTGGTTACAATGAGGGATACCTGGACCACCCTGTGAGCCAAATACCTATTCTGAGCCACTCCCTAGATGTAACCTCCTGGTGATTCTGGGTTACATCGACAGGCTACAGATTCCTAAGGGCAAAAAGGCCTCATGAATCTGAAGACAGGGGTGCCCTATAGGAATTACTCCAACACAAATAAGAGGTCTCCCCAGCCCAAGGAAAGCACCCCAAGGTTGAAAGAATTGGCAAGATGGGCAGGAGAGGTCCTCCAGACAAGGTGGGCTGCTGGACGGCACAGCCACATGGAGACAGAATAAGAAAACAAGACAGGAGCTCCACTGCGGACTGTAGAGAATACTTGTTCATCGGGAACAGGGTAGGTGCAGGAAAACTGCGAAGTGGCCAACTGTCCCCAGCAGCCCTGGAGAAATCAGGTCACTTCTGTCCCAGAGAGGGCAGAGCTGGTGGCACTGTTCTTCGGGCAGCCCCGCATCATTCAACCTCACCTCACTCGGTCAGGGCCAAGTTCATGGACTGTAGCCGCTCTGTCTCCTGGCAGATGTTCTGTTCCACCGTGTCACACTCAGCTAGGAATGCCTAAAACACGAGTGCAGGACAGTGAAGGACCACCTGGGGCTAACCTCTCCCTGCCTATGCGAGGCTCTTTGCTCAACCATTATGAGGAACCCGCGGGAAGGGATGGAGCTAGCCTGAGCTCCCAGGTAAGGGGAGGGAGGCAGAGCACAGCATAGGACCAGGGCTTCTGACAACAACCCCCCAGAAGGGTGGTGAGGACAGGAAGCCTTGCCACTGTACTACACAATTTCAGGGAACAGTGTTCACATGAATAGTGCCTCCTGGAATTATGTAATGTGGCATCATAACTGTTCTCCATTGATCTTCCTCCCCAGTGAGTTTAAATCCAAATATAATTACAGGGACATGAAAGGAGCTCTTCTCTTATGTTCTGGGCTCACGAAATCACAATCAAAAGAAAGTCCACACCACATAGCACACCTTTACCGTATCCTACTCTGAATAGATAAACACACACACCAAGACATTAAACTTTGTAATGCTTCACCACACAACTCACCTGAACCCTTTTCACCAAACCCTTCCTTTTCAGTCTACTGTCTTTGAAATTTTCCGGCAGAATCTGTGGAAGAATAAGTTGACACATAAATCATCTCAATAAAAGTGACATAACAAACATGACAGAATACTCACAGTCCACCAACATGAATGAGATGTGCATGTTCAAGAATGATTTTCCTTGATCTGTATCCTATGTGGCCGTTACCATGGCTCTTACCCCTATCCTTTGTTCTCAGGGTCTGGGTCATGGAAACTGATGTAGAACATGGACTTTGTCCTTTCCCTATGTACACGTACTGTGTCCTGGCCACGTCATGAGCTCCCTGTGCTTCTTTATAACCGCCCGCACTCCCTCAGAATCCCAGGCAGAGTAATTCACCCTCAAAAATGAGGCATCAGGGCACTTGGGTGGCTCAGGCGCTTTTGGCTCAGGTCATGATCCCCGTGTCCTGGGACTGACTTCCACATAGGGCTCCCTACTCAGTGGGGGAGTCTTCTCCCTCTGCCACCCACTCCTATTTGTGCTCCCTCTCTCTCAAAAATAAATAAATAAAATCTTTTAAAAAATGAGGCAGCAGGCTAGAAATATCATTACTGCCATTCTATAACAGGGAACATGAGAGTTGATGACCCTCAACAGTCTCACAAGAGCGGGTCTGACTGACTTCTGTTCAGGTAATGAGCCCAGTGGGGTACCGGTCACATGAGTAGCATGAAGCCCTATAAAATCGCCGTCCATTTGGGTCCCAACTTTGTGAGGATTAGATGCTTTTAGCATACATAAATAAAAATGACAAAAGCCCTATGTTGGTGGGATGTGAGTGCCTAAAAATCGGAACGATCTTGTCTTTCTGTATACCCAGCAAGGGCTGGGCAGTGTCTGTCACATGGCAGGCGCCCAGTACGCTCAGAAAATAAGAGTGCATTAATGAAAGAGTGAAACTGACTGAAACACAGTCAAAGCAAACTAGATCTCAGCTGAATATGTACTTACCAGTGTGTCAATCTCTTCCAAGATTTTCATAAATTGCTCGATAGTGGCTTTTACTCTCCTATCAAGTTTGCAGAGGGCTTCAGCTTGCAAATCCTTGGCTAGGAAACCCTGTGCAGGAATAATGCATTATTGCAAGGGTTTCCTGAGGCTGACAGAAAACTCCAGGCCAAGGCACTGATGAAGCAGCCACCCACATTCGCCCAATAGTTTGGGCCAGACCTCAGACCTGCAACTTCATCTCTTGTGGTGCACCACCCCATGCACCACGATAGGCTGCAGGCCACTCTACCTCCCATGGCCCACTGGGGCTGCTAATGCTTCCTGGGGCCTGGCTCTGGTGAAGCTCCAGTCGCCAACGTATACCCACACGTAAGAGGCAGACATTAAGAATGCAGGGTGTAAAGTCCGACAGGCCCAGTCTTGAATTCTAACTGCCATTTACTGGCTTGTGATCGTGAGCAAGTTGCTTAACCCATCTGAGCCTTACTGTCTTCATTTTTAAAATGAAGATTATGATACACACACCCCAGAGGATTACTCTGAGGATAAAGACACACATAAGCAGACTCCTAATAGAATTCCTGACACGGACATGTGCTAACAACTGGCAGCATTTACATTGTTTTTATTAAACTGTCTTCCCGTTTATCACATTGCTTGGCCTAGTGACCAGTTAGCTGGTCACAATGGGTAGACAGCCAGGATCTCTGAGGATGTTTATCGAAGATATAGATTTGACCACATGGAGTAAAAGCTTTAAACATTAGCCAGCAATTCCAAGTCAAAGAATTTATTCTATCCCCCCCCCCAAAATAATCAGAAATGGTCAAAAAAGATTTATGTTCAAGGATGTTCAGAGAAGCATTAACGCATAATGGTAAAATAACATTCGGTGATAAACAATAGAGAATTGGTTAGGTAAACCATGATACATTAACATTACTATGCAAGTTTCAGAGAGTATGATTTTTTAAAAAGATTTTATTTATTTGAAAGAGAGAGAGAGAGTGAGAGCAAGCAAGCATGAGCAGGGGGGTGGGCAGAAGGAGAAGCAGACACCTCAGTGAGCAGGGAGGCTGATGCAGGGCTCGATCCCAGGACCCCTGGATCATAAGCTGAGCCAAAGGCAGATGCTCAACCGACTGAGCCACCCAGGCACCCCAAGTATGATCATTTTTAATGACAAGAAAATGCTCAATTTTTTTATCCAATAAAATAACAATTTACAAAGTATACATAACACTGTATCAAATTTTTTAAGATGCAAAAGCATATTCCAGTCTTCAGTACTGGTTATCTTTTGAGTCAGGACCTTATAGGTATTAGTGCCCATATGTTTACCTAAAAGTTATACAACCTCCATGTATTACTTTTGTAATTAAAACAGAAATCTACATCTATTAACGTTATAAAGTGAGAGGAGAAAAAAATATGTGGTTTGGGGCTAGATCACAATCCTTACTTAGTTGTTTTTTTTGTTTGTTTGTTTGTTTTTTTAAGATTTCATCTACTGGGGGGCCTGGGTGGCTCAGTTAAGCCTCTGCCTTCGACCCAGGTCATGATCCCAGGGTGCTGGGATCAAGCCCCACATCGGGCTCTCTGCTTGGCAGGAAGCCTGCTTCTCCCTCTCCCCCTCCCTCTGCTTGTGTTCCTTCTCTTGCTGTGTCTCTGTCAAATAAATAAATAAAATCCTTAAAAGAAAAAAAAAAAAGATTTCATCTACCTATTTGACAGAGAGCACAAGCAGGAGGAACAGCAGGCAGGGAGCGGGAGAAGCAGGCTTCCCACGAGCAAGGAGCCCAATGTGGGACTCGATCCCAGGACCCGGGATCATGACCTGTGCAGAAGGTAGCCACTCAACTGACGGAGCCACCCAGCACCCCCTTACTTAGTTTTAGTACCCCTTCTCTAATACAAGGAATTGAACAGGATGACCCCCCGCCTTCCCTGCTAAGATCAAGCTCAACTTGGACCTTAAATGTTCTTTGTCTTGCTAAACACATTCTAACAGCTGGGCCTGAGAAAAGCTACCTGTTCTGTTTCAGACAGTATGTGACCCTGGAATGGCAGGTGCTCTCCTAGGAGCACAAATGGATGCTGGCTGGGGTTTGAAAATGGCAATGACAAGAACACTTCTAAAGCACTTAGTATGCATCAGACTCAAACTACAGTTTTTTGTTTTTTTAAATAAGCTCTATGCCCAAAGTGGGACTTGAACTCAAGACCCTAAGATCAAGAGTCACATGTTCTACCGACTGAGCCAGCCAGGTACCCCTCGAACTGCATCATTTAATCCTCACACCGACCCTGCGAGGAGGTACCATCATTTTTCCCTTTTAAGGAACTTGAGACCCGGCAAATTTGCCCACAGTAGTAGAAAGGGTAAAGCCAGGATCTGAACCCAGGGAGACTAGAAAGCCTGCCCTCACAACCACACATTTGTATCTCCCCAGAGACAGTGACCTGTTGGATTCCAGTAAGCTCTTTGTTCAACTCTTGCAGTTGGTCAGCTATCTTCTCCACAGACTTCTCCAAACCTTTCAACTTCTTTAGTTCAGCCTCTTCCTCTGGACTGCTCTAAAATGTTAAAGAATAAAATGAAGTCAATAATCACCAAGAATAGTGGCTTCTAACTGGAAAGAAAAAAATAAATCTGACCATAACTGGACTAAACCACTCACCTAGAAAAAATAACCTTAACTCTGCTGCTCCTTGGAAAGCAAGCTGGAGGGTTTACACATGGAGGTTTCCTACCTACAAACACTCTAGACTAGAGTGAAGACACTAAGCAAACATTCTGCAAGGACCCAGACAGCCTGGGTTGAGAGAAAGGAGCCAAACCAAGTGCCAGAGTCAACCTGAGGCTGGGGCAGCTGACTCCAGACTGAAGCCTCCGGGGGAACAGATGACAGTGAACACCTGTGAGGAGTCCAGAACGGTGAGACAGGTGGAATCCTACCATTCCTTTAAATGAATTCCTTAGTGTCACCCACCAGCTGAGCTCTCCCATTTAATAAGACGATGATAATGATGAATACCTTCGTTGGGCATTCCCTCCACTATACTAAACACTTCATCTGTACTATTGTTTTAAGCCTTACTACAAGCCAGTGAGGAAGGTAGTGCTTTAGATGATGAAACTGAGCTTTAATATAAAGTAAGGTAAGGTCACACATCCCAAAAGAGGTGGAACTGAGACATGAATCAGACTTGGCTTCACATACCCCAGGGCAACTCCAATTAGGGGTTCTATAATTTCTTCAGATTCAACCCTTAGGTTCTGCCCATCACCCAGAACTATTCTCCCCGACCCTTGAGCAAGAAATCTAGAACACTTCCCCTTCTCTCATCTCAACAACTGGTAGTCAGGGCCAGCAGCTTCCTGCTTTTACACTACCCCAAACTGTTCACATTTTTCTTTGTGGCCAAATCCTGAGTGCCAGACTTCTGGCTGTTCTGCGGCTGGACTAGATCTTCTTTGCCTTCACGTTGCTAATCTCTGTCCCCTCTCCACGCTGAATCAGCCACCTACTCAAAGTAAGGAAACTTCCTATGACCAGCAGTTTCAATGTGTCACAATGCAGGGCTGGCCATAACCCTCTCTCATCACCCCAGGGGCTACTGTCCTCACCAACTGACTCTTTTCCTCCCATGGCTCTTTTTTTTTTTCCTTAAAGATTTTGTTTATTTGACAGAGAGAGCAAACACAGACAGGAGGAGCAGCAGGCAGAGGGAGTGGGAGAAGCAGGCTCCCTGCAGAACAGGCAGTCCAATGTAGGGCTCAATCCCAGGACCCTGGATCATGATGAGCTGATGGCAGCCACTTTACTGACTGAGCCACCCAGGCACCCCTTCCTCCCTTGGTTCTTTAGTCTGAACCGTTCTTTCTAACCAAAGAGGGCTTTCCCTTGTGGAAGATTTTAGTGGAAAGGGTGTTTAAAGGGAGACAGATTCATGAAATTTGCAGAGGATTTATTTCAATAGAAGTTTCTCTTGCAAATCCCCTCCATGTGAGTAAGACCTGACTCAGGCACCATTTTAACCAGATTGAGATCCACCACCAACATAAGAGCTATGTTACTGATGCGGCATAACTGTTCATGATTCCCAGAACAAAAGCCATAACCAATAGCAGCCAGAGGGCATGAGAATAACAAACCTCGCGACATCAAATAAATGGAACTACATCTGTTTAGAAAGAACTATTTCACTAATGTAGAATGTGGGTCCCCAATTAGGCCTTCTAAATAGAAATATGTATAGAAGACCTTAGTCAGGGATGCCTGGGTGGCTCAGTTGGTTGGGTGGCTGCCTTTGGCTCAGGTCATGATCCCAGCGTCCTGGGACGGAGTCCCAAATCCGGCTCCTTGCTCGGCAGGGAGCCTGCTTCTCCCTCTGCCTCAGCCTGCCACTCTGTCTGCCTGTGCTCGCTCTCACACTCTCTTTCTCTCTCTCTCTCACAAATAAATAAATAAAATCTTTTAAAAAAACAAAAAAAGACCTTAGTCATTTGATTCTGGGGTATTCTGGTAGAAAAAGCAATTTACCTTCTTCCCAATTAACATGACTCGGCAACCATTTTGTATTCCGAGTGCTGACAGTGGCTTCTCCATTTCCTTCAGAGATTTTCCTGGAAAGAGAAGATATGCCAAGTGGTAACAATTGTACAACACTGAAAATAGATTCTACCAAGGTTACAGGAAATAGACAAGTGTGTTCACTAATAAGAGGATAAATTGGTATAACCTTTTCCACAGGTGTCTTGATCAAGTAATTTCACTTCAGATTTTCTCCTAAACAAATAACTGAATATATGCCTGCACAGTAAGTGTTATAATTTTCAATGCAAGCTTAATCATAATAGTGAGAAACTAGAAAGAGACAAACGTTTAGGAACGGGGGCTAATTAACTATACATCAGTACAACAGAAGACTTTGTAGGCATTAAAGCTAATTTTTTCAGGAAACTTTAATGCCATAATAAATGTTGATGGCTCAGTTTTATTAGAAAAATGTTATAAAAATTGTATAGTCAATATAATATCAGTTTATCAACTACACACACACACACACACACACACACACAAACCCACACTTCAGGATGCCTGTACAAATGAACAGGAATATCCTGAAATGTGATGAGGGGTTTTATCCAGGAGAACATTTTCTTCTTTGTGCTTTCCTCTATTTTGAAACATGGTTTCTACTGCCTTTTATAATTCCATAATAAAAGAGTTTTTAAAAGAAAACACAAGGGGCGCCTGGGTGGCTCAGTGGGTTAAAGCCTCTGCCTTTGGCTCAGGTCATGATCTCAGGGTCCTGGGATCGAGCCCCACATCAGGCTCTCTGCTCAGCAGGGAGCCTGCTTTCTCCCCCTGCCTCTCTGCCTACTTGTGACTTCTGTCTGTCAAATAAATAAAGTCTTAAAAAAAAAAAAAAAGAAAACACAAGGAGTTGCACTATGATGTATAAATAAAAATGCTTCCCATCACTAAATTCTTGTTTTAAAGATTTTATTTATTTGAGAGAGAGAAAGAGCATGAGCAGAGAGGGGGCAGAGGGAGAGGAAGAAGAAGCAGGCTCCCTCTGAGCTGGGAGCCCAGATGCAGCGCTCGATCCCAGGACCCTGGGACCATGATAAAAGCGGAAGGCAGATGCTTAACCGATTGAGCCACCCAGGCGCCTCTCCACCCCCTTCACTAAATCCTTTATAACTGGCACCAAATGGGATAAATTTGGCCCCATCAGATACTATAATGAGTTCCCATGGGAATGGGAAGAAAGAATGGGGATAGAAAGGGAGTGGGTCCTAGTAGAAATCAGCATCATCCACTAGGCTTGCCACATCCACCCCTGGTAAGTTTGTTCAACATCTTCTCTGTGTCAGCACTATGCTGAGCACTGGACACAGGAGTATCTTCCCTCAAAGAGTTAGTTATTCTAACAGAGAAATAAGATGTTCAGCAACTATGAAAATAATTATTTTTTTTTTAAAGATTTTATTTATTTGACAGAGAGAGATCACAAGTAGGCAGAGAGGCAGGCAGAGAGAGAGGAAGGCAAGCAGGCTCCCTGCTGAGCAGAGAGCCCGATGTGGGGCTCGATCCCAGGACCCTGGGATCATGACCTGAGCCGAAGGCAGAGGCTTTAACCCACTGAGCCACCCAGGTGCCCCTGAAAACAATTATTTAATAGTAATTTCAATACAAATTATGCAGAAGTGATAGGAAGTGCCATATGCACATATGATGGGAAGAGGATCTAACTTAGCCAGGGAAGACTACCCATGTGCTTTTACCCAAAATGGTAAGATTTCTGCCATCCTCACGGGACTTCAACTCTAACACCTGTTCAAGTGTTTGAAAGTATCCTGTATATAGTAGGTCCTCAGTAAAATGTGTTGAAGGAATGCATGAATAAACAAGCAAGTAAGTATAATCCCAGTTTAGGGGGTGCCTGGGTGGCTCAGTGGGTTAAAGCCTCTGCCTTCGGCTCAGGTCATGATCCCAGGGTCCTGGGATCGAGCCCCACATCGGGCTCTCTGCTCTGCGAGGAGCCTGCTTCCCCCTCTCTCTCTGCCTGCCTCTCTGCCTACTTGTGATCTCTGTCTGTCAAATAAATAAATAAAATCTTAAAAAAAAAAAAAAAGAATTATCCCAGTTTAAAAACTAAGAGTTATCATTACATAAGGTTAAGTAGTTTTAAACAGGCCCTTTAGCCATAAGGACTCAAAGCTGAAAGAGAAATGCCTACCCTTAAATATAAGTTTCTGAAAAGGCAGTGGGACTCCTGTGGCCTCTTCAACAACCTGGGCCAGGTCTTGGACAACTGGCTCACTACAGCCCTGTTGTGGGGTAACATGAAGATCGTGCTTCTCATTGCCTGGGGAGAGAGAAGAGTGTTCAATGAAGAAAATTCTTTCACATAAACCATTACAGGCTGACACTATTATATTTATTTACCCAGCCTTCAAGGCCCAGTTCATTTGCCACCTACTCCAAACAGTCTGACCCACCCTCCACCCCCAATCTTCCCAGCTTCATCTGGTGACCTGTCCAAGAATTTTTGTTTCCTCTATAATAACAACTAACAATTTAGTGATATCAGCTAGCATTTTAAGCACTTAACATGCATAAAGGACTGACAGGCTCATTTCAAACATTATCTAACTTAATTCTCAGAACAACCCCATATACAGATAAGCAAACTAAGTTCCGTTAAGACCTGCCCCTGGAGACTCAAATGAGGAGTAAAGACCTGACTTCAGATCTGATTCCTAAGGCCATGTTTTTTCATCAGAAGCCATCTGCTTCCTGTGGCCTAACTGCCTTGTACTCTGTAATGTTCTTGTCTCCTTTGCTGTCATGAGTAAGGGATTCCTCCAACCAAGTCTCTCCCACTGGGCACACCTGGGCACATACGTGGTTGGTGCTCAGTAAATAGACAACGAGTGAGTAAACTCAAACAGCAAAAAAACTTTTTTGCCCAGAAATGTCAATTCTTTTCCAGGTATGTGGACAGTGAGGAGATAGCCCATGCCCAGAGCTTATGCCAAGCCTTGAGCCTGCACAAGAGTCACATGCAGTTAGTGGGACAAGGGCTACCAACTCTACTTCACAGGGAAGAAACCGGAAGCCTCGAAAGGAGACATCCCAAGATTACTCAAAACTGAAGGATCTAGAATGCTGATCTTCAGATTCTGAGGCCCTCGGGTCTCCGCTAGTCCTGAAGAGCTCTTGAGAAAACTGACTTTAGATCGATGTCAAGTCCAACATTAGACAGACCCAGAGGGTGCCCAGAGAGTATGCTTGGATCCACAGCCCACTCAAAGAATGGACGTGAGTTTAGGCTCCGCACACACATAGGTGTCCAGACACAGAGCAGTCATACATGACACGACCAAATACAACCCTGATACAAAGACCCACAATAACTGCTCAGGCACAAACTAACGCATACAACCAAGACGACGACATGAAGTACGGACATAGAGGATAAAACAAATGGCCTGAGTCAAAATACAGTGGCCACTGGACAGGTGTGCTGATACAAGACCCGTACAAAAGCCGGTCTCAAATACAAACAAGATCCCACACTTCCGAACACCAGGACCAACACAAGAACACATCCTTTTGGAGGACACGTGGCCAAACCCACAGACCCCCGTCGGGCTTTGGTAGACTCGCATCGCGCCCACCCGGCACGGAGCCCACCCGGTTGTCCGAGCTCACTATGGGTGACGGTCACGCTGAGCCCGGCTGCCGCCATTTCCTCGCTCTGGGTCACCTCTTCGCTCCGGGCCACCTCTTCGCTCTGGGTCACCTCTTCACTTCGGGCCACCTCTTCTTTCTGGGCCACCTCTTCTTTCCCGGCCACCTCTTCGCTCCCGGCCGAGCGAGGCCGCACTTTCTTCATCCGCGGCCTTCGAGCGCCGGCGGCGGCGCCCCTGGTGGTTCTGGCATGTCCGCGGGCCGCACTCCGGATGGATGTTCGCTGAGAGCGAGGCGGACCGCGCTCGGCCGGGGGCACCGACTGGCGTGGCTCCCGGCCCGGCCGGGGGCCGCGCCGCCGGGGACCCAGCCGCCCCCGGTCGCCTCGCGGTCTTCGAGCGCCACCGCGCTCCGCCAGACCCGCGCTTGTTGACCACCCAGCGGAGGGCGCTGAGTTCGGCGTGTTGCAACCCCGCCTGGCTCCCGGCCGGGCGCGTCCCACCCCGGCCCGCCCGGCCTATCGGCCCCGCCCCTCGGAGCACGCCCGGCTCTGGCCCGGCTGTATTCAGCCGAAGCCTCTCCGGCCCCACCCACTCAACCGAGGCCCCGCCCCACTCATATGGAACCCCGCCCCACGTCCTTCACCGAGGCCACGCCCCTGTTGACTGTAGGCCAGCTCCAACCTCCCCGAGCTCTCCTTCCCCGGAAGGCCGCGCTGAAAACCCGGAAAAAGAGTCGGGAAACGCCAATAAGCACATTGCGCTTGCGCAGGGGGGGCCGGAAGTCAAGGAGGAGGCGGAGGTGATTCTGCTTCCATTTCTAGTTTTGCTCCAGTGTTTAGGTTTTCTTCGTGGCCGCCCAAGATGAACCGATTCTTCGGGAAAGCGAAACCCAAGGCTCCGCCGCCCAGCCTGACTGACTGCATTGGCACGGTGGGCACTTGACCACACATAACTAGACCCAGGGACTCTGACACTCCCGACCCCGCCCACCCTCGGTTCCAAGCTCCTACTCGTCCATTCCATTCTCGGTTCCGGACACCTCGGGCCTCTCCACGTTATCTTCGTTCCTGTTACCCAGGTCATTCCTGACGCCACAAACCAGGAACCCCCTAACCCTGCTTGCACGCAACCCCCTCTGAGGTCCGCTGCCGTGTTTACTCGCTTTTTCCTTCTGCCCCAACCAGCCATAGGCCCACATCGTTTCCATTTCGTCCAGCCCGACCCCTTCCCCCCTTTTGTCCTTCATCCCTCGCCCAGATCAGGATCCTCAACATGATATCCTAGGTCAACGTATACGTACCCCAATCCTGGATCTCAATAACAGGAAACTCAGGACTCCGGCCCCTCACATTAAGCCACCACCCTTTATTTAAGCGAACAGCAATAGATTTACAGGCCTAGCCCATTTCACACACCTGGTTGAGTCCCCAGCCTGACTAGTCTCTGATTGTAGAAGAATGGCACCTCAGCCCAGTGGTTCCTGAATTCTTTTCTGCTCAAGCACACTTGAAAGGGGCCCTAGAATATGAGAATCTGAGGAGTGGAGTATAGTTTATAAAGCCTCTCCGTGTTTCTGACTAGTAATCTCCCCCTGGTTGGGAACCACCTTCCCATCCTTCTTTCCTCTCCTGCCCCTTCTCATCTAAGTGTATTGTCCTAACTACTTCTGTTTCCTCAAGGTGGACAGCAGGGCAGAATCCATTGACAAGAAGATTTCTCGACTGGATGCTGAGCTTGTGAAGTATAAGGATCAGATCAAGAAGATGAGAGAGGGTCCTGCCAAGGTAAGGTAGGCGGCAGCTGCGAAAGTTGCTGCAGTAGCCTAATTTGAGCACCTCTGGAAGTAAGGCCCACTGGTAGTCTGGTAAGGAGAAAACATGTGAAGGTGTATCCTTCAAGGAGGAGGGTTTGCATCTTGATATGAGAGGAAGACTGGGGTTTAGTCTGGTGGAGAGAATTTGCTAACAGTTGGTCCAGAAGCATGTACAGGGAATTAATACATTCTACTGAGAAGGTGGCAATCTCAGAACAGTGTGTTGCCAGGCTGGGTGGGTATAATAGGCTGGTTAAGGAATGGCGTGCTGGGAAAATTACTGAACTAGGCTTCTGGAGACCAGTGTTTTATTAATAACACCATCACTATCTACTAGCTGTAGCCATTATAAATCACTTAATACCTTATTTTCCTCTTCTATTAGGTAGAAACAGAGATTACCATACTTAAGTGCATGGACTGTGGATATAGAACTACCTTATTTTTTTCCTCCATCTCTGTAACTTATTAACTATTTGAGCTAGATTATTTAGTGTCATTGAACCTCAATTTCCCTATCTGTAAAATGGGGATAACACCTACTTTCTAATGTGAAGATTAAATGAGGTAATTTATGTGACCCACCTAGCACTGTGTCTGGTACATAGAAACATTCATAAATAATAAATGCTTGATATTGTTATCATTTGTGAGATAATATCTGCTTTTCCTTCTTCACTGGAGGAGACAAATAAAATGATTTATGAAACAGTATAGGAAGGGAAGTGACAAGAGGCTTTTTTCAGCCATCTTAGTTGGATGGAAAGAAGAGTGACCAGAGGCAGGAAAGCTCATCTAGATTTGAGATGAAAGCCTAAACCATGGTGGCAGTCAGGAAAATGACAGGAAAATCAGTTTGCAAGTGAGTTCTGAAAATCAGTAACAAGAATGCTGCATGAAGAGACAGAGGAAATACAAGGTTGATATAAAGCTTCTTAACCTAGAAAAGGGAAAGATTGGTGGGACCATTGTTAATATTGGTGAGAGCAGGTTGAGGATTTGGGGCATGTTGCGTTTGAATGGATAGCAAGATGTCCAAGTTGAGAATCTCCCTAAGGCAACTGGATGTACAAATAGGCAGTATTAGGGGTCACCATGGAGCAACTATGCTCTAAAGGGAGTGCAGTTCAGTACCCTGAGATGTAGTATCCAAAGACAGAGACGAGTTGAGGCTTAAAGACTGTGCTTGGGAGGTGAAGAAGAGTCCAGGAGCTATTCTGTCTATGACTTTGAAGAAGAAAGTAGATATGTAAGTCCAAGGATATGGGAGATTTCTTTTACTATATGTGTGTTTTCTACTTCTTTTAATTAAAATCTGTTTTTCTCCCCAGAATATGGTCAAACAGAAAGCCTTGAGGGTTTTAAAGCAAAAGCGGATGTAAGTTATAAGTGTGACGTCCTTTCCTCTAGCAGGTTTAACTAAAAGGGAAATGGTCTTTTATTCTTCAGTTTTTCATACTATTTTATAAGCATTCTTGATTTAGTTGCAAATTTCATTTAAATATCTGGTGAGCTGGGTTTTTCTCCCCCTGCATGTTCAGCACTATTTGTTGCAGCACTGTCCGTCTAACCAGAACTTTTTGCTATGATAAAGATGTTCGGTATCTACGCTGTTCAGTACAGTAGCTCTTAGCCACGTGTGGTCTTGAACACTTGAAAAGTGTTTAATAAATACTTTAAGTAGCCATATGTGGCTAGTGGCTTCTGTATTAAACCACCCAGATCTATAGGGTTCGTCCATTATTTATTTAATTACAGTAAGCCTTTTTGTTTGTCTGTAAAATTGAGAATCCTGAATACTTGTTCCCTCCCAACCAGAATAGATTTAAGGGTCCTTAATTTATTTTAGGTGACTATTTCTTAGTGTTTGAGCAGAAGTCAAGTAGCATCTTTGGTGCTTACCCCTGTAAGCTGATGAGACCTTCTGCAGGTTTGCAGGGGTCAGATGTAAGCAGCTTATAAGGAGCCAGAAAGGTTGTTGATATCTCTATTTTTATTTATATTTTATTTTAAGATTTTATTTATTTGACAGCCAGAGATCACAAGTAGGCAGAGAGGCAGGCGGAGGGCGGGTGGGAAGCAGGCTCCCTGCTGAGCAGAGAGCCTGAAGTGGGACTCAATCCCAGGACCCCAGGATCATGACCCAAGCTGAAGGCAGAGGCTTTAACCCACTGAGCCACCCAGGTGCCCCTATTTTTATTTTTAAAATGCGTTTTTATCAGATAACCACCTTCCTCCATCTAAATTAGACAAAATTGGAAAAAGAAATTGATAATGGTGAGAGTATGGTAAAACTGTTCTTAGTAGGTGGCACTGCAATATTTAAGTAACTTTTTTTAACAAAAGGAATGTATATTCATCATAGATGCTTGGAAAATACACAAACATGAACAGAAGAAAAGAACATTTACCTAGAGTCCTACTACCAGAAATAACCATTTCTTAGTTTCTTTTCTCTGCTTGTGCATGCGTGGAATCTGCATATAGCTTTTTTGAAGAAAAATTGTACTGTGTAAATATAGGTTGTCCCTTTCCACTTCACATTATATCGTGAGCATTTCTCTCCTTTTATACATTCTTTGGAAGCTTTAATGGGGTGGTGATAGTTCTACTACCATTTGCCTGCACCGTGAATTGACCAATTTTCTTCTGGTTGGATAGTTAGATGGTTTCCAAATATTATATAAAGACCATACTGACATAAATCTTTTGAGTAGTATCATACTTTGATATAAAACTTTATTTTATTTTATTTTATTTTAAAGAGTTTATTTATTTATTTGACAGAGATCACAAGCAGGCAGAGAGGCAGGCGGGGGTGGGGGTGGGGGGAACCAGGCTCCCTGCTAAGCAGAGAGCCCAATGCGGGGCTCAATCCCAGGACTCCGGGATCATGACCTGAGCCGAAGGCAGAGGCTTTAACCCACTGACCACCCAGGCACCCATAAAACTTTATTTAAAAAAAACATTTTGAACACCACGTATTACATCAGGCTAGATGAATTACCTAATTATGGATACAAGATTAATAAAAAATAATACCTATCCTCAAGAACTTCAGTCTACTGGAAAACCGGTTTAGTTATATGTATGAAAAGCCATAAATCTTGTCTTATCCTGGGGCGCCTGGGTGGTTCATTCAGTTGAGGGTCTGCCTTTGGCTTGGGTCATGATCTCCGGGGTCCTGGGATTGATCCCCTCAACGTGCTCCCTGCTCAGCGGGGGGTTCTGCTTCTCCCTTTCCATCTGCCTCTGCCCCTGCTTGTGCTCTCTCTCTCTCTATCTCTCTGCCTCAAATGAATAAATAAAATCTTTAAAAAAAAAATCATCTTACCCTGTGCCCCAAGAATTCCACTTTTACGGATTGATCATAGGAGATCATTTGAAACATCATTAAGACACAATAAGGTTATATAGTAACATAGATAACAGCAAAGGCTATAATATTAAGTGGAAAATAGTCTCATAATTAAGATACAAAGACAAAAAAACTGCCAGGGTACATCAAATGATATTTGTGTTAGAGTGATTACATTGTTTTTGCTAGTTTTTCTGTGTATTTAATTTTTTTTAAGGTTTTTTTTTTTTTTAAAGAAAATTCCTATTTAGTGTTAGAGATACTTTCTTCCTGAGGATTTCTATCTTTC